CAATTACTACAGCAAAGACAGCATCATAGCAATTCCTCAACAACAATAAATTAAACCTTATCCTAAATGAATTTGGAGTGGTTATATGAATCCTTATCACCGCTCAATTCAATCCATCACTATATTCAATGGCGAATCCAGGATTCAATCCATCACTATATTCAATGGCGAATCCAGGATTGAAGGTTAGGGCATAAGTTGACCATCGACAATCAACTGCTGTAATAGCGAGATCGTTTATGAATATTTAATTAAATAATATTAAAAATCATTCTGTTGAAAAAATCGTTTGGTTGAAAAATAGCTAGAACAAGAATAACTAGGTACGAACTTTCGTTTCTATTGAAAAAATCATTCCACAATCTGCAAAATGCCCCAATTTATTTTTCAATCAAAATCGGTTCAATTACAATTTATTTTTCATTTATCCTAAATCTAAATTTCCAAATTACAAATAAAAACTCATAAATGATAAATCATAACTCATAAAACATAAATTACTTATCACAAATCACAATCATAACTCGTAAAATATAAATCATAACTTATAAATGATAAACTGAATTAAAAGAAAAAAACCAAAACAAAAAAAGAAAAAATACAAAAACAAAAAGAGAGAAGCGGACTCATAGACAGTCACTAGGTTTGCAACAGCAACAAGAGGGAGGAAGGGAGGCTACTTGCCATCGCCGACAGCAGCCATATGGTAGGTTCGGTCGAGCAGGGGCTGAGTTCGCACTTTGTAGGACAGCTAACGGGATGAAGGGTTTGAAATTTGGAAATTAGAATTGGCCGTTGTTCACAGTTGATTTGCACAAATTGCCCGTCCAATTGTGAACTGTGTCCATAAAATTAGTGGTTTGATTTTGTTACCCCTCAATTTCGAGGTCTAAAGAGGCGAAGCCACGTGGTATGCTACGTAGGCAGAACAGTCAACGAGAGGTCAAAAGGAGGCCCAACAAGTCAGAAGTCCCAGCGAGGTAATAAGCGGAGATCCTTAACCCAGCATCAGAAGCTGTCACACTAACAAGCCTCAGCCTGAAGCACCTCTTCAAAGATGAGGAACAGCCCAATCCAAGGTTCTTTTAGGCTCGTCCAAAGCTCATGAAGCCGACGCTGCCTCACAACAGATTCGGAGATCTTTTGGGATTGATTAATCTGACATTTGTAATAAAGTGTATGTAGTTTTCATCAATGTCAGCCTACTACTAGAATGGCAGACCTTTTATCAAATATTGAATGTAATGAGTAGACAGTGATGTGAAGCTTCGATCTGGGGGAGTCGCTATGCAGATTTGATCCAACGATCATCACGTCGGCTAGAATAGTATAAATAGCCACTCTTTGTATAGAAAGAGGGGACGGATCATTGATGCAAAAATAAACAATCAGACATTCATATTAACACTTGAACTCTTACAAAAGGAGAAAACACATCTATTTATCATATCTATCATTTCACATCTTTCACGACAAAATCAATGTTTGTTATGAATCTTTATCTTGTTGAAAGACGATCGTGGATAGCGTGATTGTCTTCCAATCACATCGCTGGAGCCCGAACATTTTTTTCTCTCGCCGGAAAGTGCCTCTTACATTCATCACGGTCAAACCACCTTCCTTATCCCGGAAGAAACGTGCTGGAATAATACTTGACGTGGCGAGAGTGAGCCCAGACATCTATTGAGTTCATTTTTTGAGGTCAATAGATTTGATTTTGGGCCTAAATTTTTAAAAACAAGAGGCACAAAAAAGGCCCAATTTTCAATAACCTGAGTCATCCCTTTCTTTTCCATTGCAACCTTCTTGGCTGGCTTTTGATCCCGACAGCTACTGTAAATTTCAACGAAGCGAGCATGGGTAGCCGCACACCCTCCTCGAGTGCTGGCTCCACCACTGACTATATTTACTAGAAGATCCAATGCTACAACATCCTTCACAACCACAGCAAATCTTAGACTAACTCTTCCTCTTCCAACCTATTCCACGAAGATTGGATGACACTAGTGAATGAGAGCTTCATTATCATGTCCACACAAAGCAAGCCCAACCACTTAAAGTTATCATTCTCTTAATTTATCCTCGATGGGTGTCGCCTTCACTTGTTACTTATCCATTATAGTATGATTGCACACAACGTTGTGAACATCCTCATTTCTGTTCCATTCATCATAATGCATCTTTGCAAAAACAGATGCCAATATGGCAATATCTAAGTGTAGATTATGATAATGCATCTCAATAATGTGCTTGTAGTTGCATATAACTATTTACAACCTAGAAATTTTAAAATTTGATTTCATTAGTGAGTAGAATTGATTGTGCTGCAGTTTTGAATCACTGGCGTTTGGCCTCTAAGTTTCTACAATTTCAACATTGAAGAAATTGTCCAATCTTGATCAGAAGGAAAAATAAATACAATTTCTTAGAATTGCATCATAATGCATGAATATGTTCCTTCATACGAAAACAACACCTAAAATTTTAGCTCACTTTGTCAACAATAACTTGCTGGTGCAATATGGAAATTGCATGACATTCAATAGTCATAATCAATTCCTTGGAGTATCACAGGGTGTAACTTTTAAAATAATGCTGAATTGAGGATGTTATTTTCCTAGAGAATGCTATTTTTCTAATACAAATATCGTGATGTGGACTTGCCGCTTTCAAATGCCACTTATAAAAGTTTACATTCCTAATCAGGGGCGGACGCAGAACTTTAACTTTGGGGGGGCACAATCGAACTTGTAAAGAAGTTGGTAGAATTTTTACAATCGAAAATTTACGTCCAAAAAAATCATACTCCATGTAATTTTACATCTAAAAATTTACATGAGATATGACTTTTTGGATGTAAAATTTCGAAATTTTTTGAAATTTCCTAATAAAATGATGAAAATTTACATTGAGAAATTTGTATCGCAAAAATAATAAATGTTAATGAAATAATTGATTTTTTGTTTAAAAAAATGCGAGTTAAACGTCTTTTTAAAGGTTCACATTTAACATATTTTTAAATGTTTTCGATATATGTTTGAACTATTCGATATCTCCATAATGTAATTCTTGAAATAAGTTTCGAAATAATACAAATAATTTGTAGATTCGATTAGCGTACGATCGTCGGAGAATTTTTAAAATTTGTATATTTCGAAATTCAAATTTATTTTTATTTTACTCCTGTTTGGTGGAGATTAAAATCAAATTTTTGGTAAATTTTGGTACAAATTAAATAGTTATGAATTTCATGAAAATATGTTATTAAAATTAATTGTTAACTTTGATTTAGATTAAAATTTAAATTTCAATCGACAACAGACGTAATTTTAAAAAAAAAATTGAATCTCAAAAGCTGGGGGCACCCGCCTCCAGGACCCCCTTGGGTCCGCCCATGTTCCTAATTGAACAGAATATTGTTGTATAATTTCAACTCTATGGCCTGAATTCCATAACATTAAATATAATGTTTGCATCATTTCCAAAGATACAGGTATTAGAAACTGCTTACATTCTCCAAACATCCAAAATTAATGATGCAAGTTTTTGTATACTATGACATACAAAAAAATTAACAGACATACTGCCTAAGGTCAGTTTTGGAACACTGAAATACAAAGTGGTCAAAAGATACTCCTCTTGAGAGCTAGATGGATATGGGTACACACTCAAAAGTTAACAAAATCGTACTATGTCGCTAGCGTTTCTTCCATCTCGCGCTTAGTCCCATTTTTGGGTTAATTATATTGCTGTCCACTTAACTTTTCACCCTGTCATCTTGGACACAAACTTTAATTTGTTTAGACTCATCACAGAATTTATAAGACCACTAATGCAGTTTGACATAAATTTTTTAACTGAAACTTGTACGGTTTTTTGTACCGAGTTATCAAATCATTTGAATTTTCAGTTAAATGTCGTGTAATGTTCAATTTTAAAATGAAAGTCATATTGAGTCCGTGGTTTGAATGAAACATTTTATAAGGTTCATCAGTCAATTCAAACATATCAAACCGTTTAGATTAAATACGCCCCCCTTGTGCTCTCCATTTTCATTTAATACTAATCCAAATATAGTTAAATATAAATAATCTAGGGGGAAAAAAATCAGTTACAAATGGTAGAAATAAATCTTTGCATAGTATTTCTTAGTAAAGTACCTAATTAACACTCCCCTCACGTAAAGTGGGATTCCCAAATTTTTTATTCATGGTGGCCCCCTCACATGTCAGGGGGCTGCAACCATCATTATTCTAATAAACAATTGCATATCAAAGTTAGTGTGACTTCGATGTTAAGGAATGAATGCAACAAAGTTTCTTATCTTCCCAGGGAACATATGTACAAATGGACAAACCCAACTGTCAAAAAGCAATCATAAAAGAAGATGATTCAACGACATCAGATTCTTATGTGGATAAAAAACAACTCTCCAGTCAACTCCCTTCCAATTATGCCACCTAAAGTATTTACAAATCTTCGTCTGCTAAATATATGAATAATTTATAAATGTGAATAATAAATAAAGAAATAATAGCGATTCCTTCCAAAGATATGAATATAGAGTGTGTTCGGTGCATATTAAAATAAGAGAATGTATATTTTTTAAAATGATGTGATGAGAAATATGTGGTTGAAAAAGAATGAGAAGTTATTGACGTGATAGAAAATATTATTTTATTAAAAAATATTTAGTTGAAAAATGAGTAAAATAATGAAAATGAAAAAAATAATGTGACTCAAACTGGGGCATAACAAGTAATAGTTAATTATGAACGAATGAAATTAATTTTAAATTTAATGTATAATTAAATAGTCAAATCAAATCGGACACTTCTGTTTCTTTCCTCATTAAATTTAATATATATTTTGACAAGAACGTCATTGCTAACCAACAAAACCAGGATATCCCGCTTTTCTTGACTGTTTCGAGGCGAAGGGCTATATATGTATGTATTTTGTGAAGGAAGAAATCAGTTGAGACAGAAATTAGCTCTGTTATGGGCATGGAAATTTGTGGCGATGATCAGCATGCAAGCGACTCAATTTCTTCTTCTTCCTCGTCTTCGGCTGAGGCTACCGAAGTAATGAAGCGCACTCTTAAGAGATGTGAGGTCAGTCTTTCTATTTCTGCGATTTCATCTGGATTCGTAGCAGTAATTTAATCCTATTTTTCCTTTAGGATTTATTGTTGGAATTTTTTTTAAAAATAAAATTGTAACAAGAGGTTTCAATTCTCTAGTTTATTGAATTTGTGGTTCACAAAGCTATGACAGCTACTGTAACGTAATTTGGTTTTAATTCAAAATTAGAAATTGAAACCTCCCATCGAAACGCTATATAAGTTGGCGTTCTCCTCATAATTCCACAATGGCGGACCCAGCACCCGGTGAGGGGGCGCGGCCGGAATTTATACGTGCAGACGCGTAGTTGAAGTTTTCAGAGCCATTGTGACTGTGAAGATAAGGAATTGCCGAACTGGGAAAGAAAGGATTTGGGAAGATGAGTAGTTGTGGGCGTTTTTTTTTACTTGGACCACCCTTTTTCTTTAAAAAAAGGGATAATTGCAGATGCGGTCCCAAACCTTTCAGATTTTTGCGCACTTTACCCTAACCTTTGATTTGTGCCAGCCACAGTCCCAAACCTTTCAAAAATATGCACCGAAGGTCCAAATTGATGATTTCCATCCACTGACCGTTAGTTGACCGGAAATAGTCAAAATTTGACCAATTTTGACCCAATTAAAAAGGGCAAAAGGGTATATTTACATTTTTCTTCTATTAAATAAGTTTAAGAAATAAATTAAAAAATCCCAAAAACAAATACCTCTCTCTTCCCCTACCCACACCCTTCTTCTTCACCAATCTCACCCCCGTCACCTGCTGCACCATCTGTCTGAAATTGCTGCCGTGATGAACGTCGTCGTCGCTACCCACTTCTAGGCACGGGACTTTCGCTTAGTTATCTTCCCCGTCGGTGCGTCAATCCGACGTTTCGAAACAGGAACTCTACTTCCTAAACCTCTGGTCGCGTCTGCACAGTCGAAACTTGATGGGATTTCGAAGAGTGATTCTTCTTCAAATATAGATCCCCAAAACGAGATTTTGGGTTTTAACAAATAGGTACATTCAAATTTGCCTGATTATCCTGTAGTTGAAACAAATTCATCATTCGGGTCGAGTTCTTCATCCCCATCTATGTCAAATCTGCCTCCAATTAAAGTTAGATTTGAAAATGAGGGATATAGATTTCTGAGATTTGTGACAAATCTATATTCCAATTTACTTCAAACCCAATAATTCTTCATTTCCAAATTCGAAGTCAGTGAGTTTTGATTCTATTAATTCCTCGGATGAAACAGATCCATTATTTGTACCGGATGAAGCAGGTCCACTATTTGGTTCTTCCTGGTTCATCTTCTCCATCCTTGTTACTTTTGATTGATGGTGGTTGGTTTTGGGTTGTTTGGCACACTGGGAAAATGATTGATGGTGGTTGGTGTTAGTTTGATATTGGTGGTTAATTTTGGTTTGAGTGCGGTGGTGCGGTGGTGCTGGTAGTGTGTCAGAAAGAGAAACTGGTAGGTGGTGGTGGCTAGATTTTTTCATTACTGTCGGCACTGGGAAGAGAAACTGACAGGTGGCTAGTTTTTTTCATTGGTTGGCAATGGTGGTCGTCGGCGACGGCACCGAGGATGGCAAGTGGTGGTGCTGGTGGTCGATTTCAGTGGGGTGGGGTGGGGTGGCGTGGCGTGGCGTCGGTGGGCTGATTTCTGTTTTCTTTTTATTTTTTTATTTTTTTGTATTAAAATTCGTATAGTTACCATTTTGCCATTTTAAGATTTGGTCAAATTTTATTATTCCGGTCAACTAACGGTCAAATGGATGGAAAGACCTCCGGTGCATATTTTTAAAAGGTTTAGGACTGTGATTGGCACAAATCAAAGGTTAGGGTAAAGTGCGCAAAAATCTGAAAGGTTTGGGACCGCAGCTACAATTATCCCTTAAAAAAACAATGGCCCGTTATTCGTCAAGTGAATTCAGCTAGAAACCAAATGCCCAATTGCCCATAGTGAGTTCAATTTTGAAGACATTTCATTTTTCACAACTACAGAGTCAGAAAGCCAAACGCTCAATTCAAAACCCTATATTCTACCTCCCCTCCCCAGTCCCGTTGTCTCCCACTCTCGCAGTCACAGGCTACAAGTCTGGCCTCCGCAAATTGATGTTGCGGAGTTCGATCGACTTCCCAGGCTTCTTGTTGCCGCTTTCACTGCTCTAAAGGCTGATATGAAGCGACAGGTTTCTGGATTTTATTTATTTTAATCTATTTGTGCTGCTTTTTTCGTTATTATTTGTTTTAAGGAAATTTCGTTTGGGGATTGGAGGGGTCGTTTGTATGTTCTGGCCTTCTGGGTTCGGTGGAAGCTCCGATTCGTTTATTTTTGTTCCATTTTTTGTTTAGAATCTAAATGATTTTAAGGTATTTCGAATGGAAAAACTTTGGATCATTGCTATGCTTGTGCTTACACCAATTTTTCTATGTACCAGTGGAGTTGAACTAAGAATATAATGGTATCTTGATATGAAAACTATTGAAATGATTAATGCTGGGACGATTAATGGTTTTAATCTGTTCTCTAATAATTTGGCAAAACATTATTTTGCTGCTTTTTCGTTATTATTTGTTTGAAGGAAATTTCGTTGGGGGATTGGAAGTGTTGTTTGTACGTTCTGGCCTTCTGGGTTTGGTGGAAGCTCCGATTCGTTTATTTTTGTACCATTTTTTGTTTAAAATCTAAATGATTTTAAGGTATTTCGAATGGAAAAACTTTGGATCATTGCTATGCTTGTGCTTACACCAATTTTTCTATGTACCAGTGGAGTTGAACTAAGTATATAATGGTATCTTGATTTGAAAACCATTGAAATGATTAATGCTGGGATGATTAATGGTTTTAATTTGTTCTCTAATAATTTGGCAAAACATTATTTTATTTTTCCAAAAAGGAAAATGCTATACTTGTTTGTGTAATTTTCTAGGTATGTTAACAAGTCCTGACATTTAGTTCAAGTATTGATTAATTTGATTTATGCTTATTATATAAATGTTATGATACAGTGAAATTCGCAAGCATTGATTTGGAAATCGGATTAGGAAATTGAATTATATTTGATTTTTACATTGTAGTGTATTTACATATAGATTGAAGAACTTTTAATATTATTTAATTAATTATTAATAAACGATTTTGCTATTACGGTCGTAACGAGTCGGTGACTGTCGACAATCAATGGTCAACGCTCAATGGCCGCCCTAGTTGAACTCCAATTCTAGATCCGCCACTGTCCACACATCAAACTTTGAGAACTCTCTTAGTTTCTCTATTCTCCCTTTGTTTTCAAGAGATTTGTTCCTAGTAGTTTATATAATTATTTTCTACTTTGGTCATAGAATTGTAGGCATTCTTAGTTCGCCTAAAGTAGTAACGAAGTGCTAATGAGCTACTTTCAACCATTGTAACATGGGAAACAAACGCCATCATTCTTCTTGCACGCGAATATGTTTTAAAGAAATTGTGTGCTCCACAGGCCTCAACTCCTTCTAATATCGCTACTATGTCAACAATCAGATTTCCCCTCCTTTATTGTAAAGTTTCTTTTCATTATTTTATAATTCCAGCTAACTTTGACGGGTTGTTCAATTGGTCAGATCTTAGATTTGCTTCACAGTGGTCACCAGTTCGAGTCCCTGTTTTACATACTTTCTTGGGTTTGCTCCCCAATGGTTACCAGTGCGAATCCCCTCAAGGCCACTGAGGTGAGTACCCGGTCGTAAATTTTAGGGTCCGGTGGGATTAGTCTAGGTGAGCGCAAGTTGATCCAGACATCCACGGTTATCAAAAAAAAAATCCAGCAATATTCCTTATTTCCTTTTGCTATTTTTTTTAATATCTTAAAACAGATTTTTCTCGAAGGACGTAGGAGGTGTTGGATTTCAAAGAAATATTATTGTATTCTCTCACAAAATTTATAAAATCTTGAAATTGGAAGTTACAATATGGAGAAGTTCCTTCCAAGAGGCTAGGTTTTAAGTGGGACCATTTGTGACCCTCCAGCCAACTTGAGAACTGAATATTTTTGAAAGATGCTAAACTTGTTGAGGCTGGGCTTGGTCCTGTCTAGTCTTTGAAAAACATCTGTTAGAGTGCTATTCTGTTATTGGAAAAAATAGCTTAATTTTTATCGTGCTTGAAAATAAGCATATTTTTTATTTGGAAAACTACTTTATTTTCGGTATTGTGAAAATAATATAATTGTCCAAAACTAAAGAACCTTCGTGGAAAGAGGTTATTAAGAGCTTCCATACTACAAAATCACACTGAGAGTTAGCAATGCTATAAATATTCTCTTATGACAAGAATAAATTGTTGTCATGCACAATCTAGAAGTACATCAAATAGATGTAAAAATAATCTTTTTGTATTGAGATTTGGATAAAGAAATCTACATGGAACAATTTCAGGGTTTTACTGTACCTAGATAAGAAAAGAAAGTCCGTAAATTGGTGAAATCCTTTTGTGGTTTAAAACAAGTACCAAAACAATGGCATGAAAAATTCGAATNCAAGTACCAAAACAATGGCATGAAAAATTCGAATGCACTATAATGGCAAATGGATTTAAAATCAACAAATACGATAAATGTGTTCATATCAAAGATACTGAGAATTGATATGTTATTATGTGTTTATACGTTGATGACATGCTCATTGTTGGATGATCAAATATACTAAACATATGTTGAATTCAAGATTTGACATTAAAGATATAGAACTGGTCGATGTTACCTTATGAATAAAGATCTCCAGAATATCAAATGGGCTTGTCTTAAATTAGTTATATTATGTTGAAAATATTCTTGAAAAGTTTAGTAAAGTTGACACTAGTGTTGCGAGAACACCAATATACACAAGTGTACATCTATCCAATAATAAACGAGAGAGTATTTCTCAAATAGAGTACTCTACAGTGATTGGTAGCTTAATATACTTATTGATTTGTACAAATCCTGGCATAGCCTATGCAGTAAGTAAGCTAAGTAGGTTTACGAGTAATCCTGGAGTTGACCATTGGAAGGTAATTGTGTGAGTACTGAGATACTTAAGATATACTCATAATTATGGACTACACTATACAAATATCCATATGTAAGGATACAGTGATAAAAACAGGATATTAGACATAAAAGACTCAAGATCTACTAGTGGACATGTGTTCACACGAGGTAAAGCCGTGTCTTGGAAATCCTCAACATTTATTTCCTCCACAAATTGATATTTAATCATTTAATGCTCTTTTATTTTTATTTTTTTGTAGAGACACAACAGGCAGAGTAATGAGGACACACAGTTTCATTTGATTCGGCTACACGACTTTGAGCAGCAAGCTCACGTACGTGATGGTAAGTGAAATCTGGTTCTTGGTACATTAGATTGTTAAAAAATCAAATGATTGATTGTTACGGTTACGAGGTCCGATCAATTCTTAATAATAAAAGTATTTTTCTTTTACCTATCTGAAATTTTTTAATTCTTTTCTACCTTATCTACAAGCAGGAATGCAATAAATGTGCTCTCTCTTGCAAGTTGGAGATAAAAATGGATTTAAACTAATGATAGATTGAAATAAACACATCTAAGGGAAAGGGTTAGAACACTGTTATTCACCGAACTAGCCATTTTGTTTCAGCTTAGTTACTGAACTTCTCTTTCATATAAAAGTGGTCAAAGTTATGGTTTTGTTTCAGTTCAACCACTCCATTGGTCTCCTTTTGCATGTCACCAAATCCGATAGACATGTCAACACTTGTGTTAACAAAAACTATCGGAGACGGGGAGAATAACTTTACTAAAACATAACTATAAGGTCAGTGATAATTTGTGTATGAAAAAAGAGTTTGATGATTAGAGTGAAACTAACACCTCTCTAACTTGATGACTGACCGTATTGTTAACCCAGTGTGAACTGTGATAAACAACTGAATTTTCAAGTTTTTGACTCCATATTTTCTAACACCTCTCTAGATTTTGTTCCAGCTAACTTTGGAAGCACAAAATTCTGAAATGAATATGTCGTAGCCTCCTTCAACCATTCAACTATCCTGTGCTTAGTACTGCATTTAATATTTCTTTCTTATAATTAGTCTGGAAATATTCATTGTTTTGAGGGATCAAACTAGTCCTGTAGTACATGGAAAATGATTCTGATAGGCCAACCAACTTTGTCTATAATTATTGGTAAAACAAATTGTTCTCTACTCGACATATGATTTTGATTGGTAAGTGGTTAAGCATGCAATTATACTCATTACTGAGGAGGAAAAAGTATCGAAAGATGCAATGACTTTGACTCGATATTGGACTGGTGCTTTATAATTTTTATCCCACTTGTCCATTTCATTTGAGATATAGTGGTGCACTGCCAGATATTGATGTCTTCTTCTATGATCTACAACTTAATAGTCAAAATATTCACAAGAGTATTTATAAATATGTGCGTTCCTCCATATGAATATTCAGGGAATGTATGGACAGCTCTGGCACATATAATAACAGCTGTAATCGGCTCCGGGGTATTGTCACTAGCATGGAGTATGTCACAGCTGGGGTGGATTGCAGGTCCATTGACTATGCTAGCATTTGCATCGGTCACCCTTACTTCTGCACTTCTTCTTCGGGATTGCTACAAATCTCCCGATCCAGACTATGGCCCGACTAGAAATGGCTCCTACATAGAAGCCGTTGGAAATATTTTAGGTAAAAAGTTGGCTATCCTTGTGTTTCATACCCTCTTAAGTTCTTGTGGTATAATCATACAATTTCATCACTACTTCATGGGCAAATGAAATTCAAATTTGTAATTTCCTTACCTCCCAAGCTGTGAAGCATGGGACTCGTTATAGCCTTATAGGATGGATTATTGGTGTTCTTTTCGTATTGGAAACCAACATACCTAGATCACGCCAAGACATGTGTCCAACATTCGATGTGGCCTATCCTATTTTTAATAATTCTAACATGCAAGAGACACAATCTCGAAACTCCTTGCACACGTTCAGATTTTCTCAAATATATTTTCAGGTTTTTGATAGACATTGTCTCGACATGTCAAGGACACGAAAGCCCTATTTTGTAAATTTTGGGTTTTAAAATTAGGTCATATTTTAGTTATTGTAAAATTCGTGTAAAAATGCATAATAGTGAGAAATTTTTTATGTGATATCATGTAGGCAAAGTGATGTAGGGTGCTGGTCTAGGTTCACTTATTATGTTACTGCCAGGTGACTGTTCTTGGAGTCTCGTTGGATGAGGCGTAACAATAGATTTCTGTCCTTTGATCTGCATGGAATTAAAGCTAGGCCTGGAATCTAGAAAGAACCTCTAGTTTTTCTTATCATTTTTACTTCCCTTCAAAAGTCTAAATGAGAGGGATTTTTGAAACTATTTTACAAATTTCAAGAAGGTGAGTTTATTCGGAAACCATGTCACAAGTGTATTTTTGCTTTTTCTTATAGCCTTCCAGCCTTTTATGTTTGAGTACGAGAGTGAGCACTACCAGTTTGAACAATGTCACAATTCACACAGATGAAATATAAAAAAACTTGCAATTTAAATTGTTTCTCAAATTTTGTTGAATGATATATGGAAACTTTATGTTCAGTCTTATCTCAAGCAATTCTAATTTTTGAGCCTCGGTTACATTTTTCCAGATGTTTGCATTTAAATGCCAAATTACTTTCCCTTCCACTGTGGGTCTAGGTCCTATAACTTGCTGATATAGTTCAATAATAATTTGATAAACAGGTATACGCGCATGTCTGATGTAATTTAATTTGCTTAATCGAGAAATTCACATTTTTCTTCAAATAACATAAGAGGGTGGATATTACATTACATTAAATTATACACCATCAATCTCAGGAAAGAGGAACAGTTTGGTGTGTGGCATCCTTGTACGCATAAATTTCATCAAGCTAGGTATTGTTTATACAATTGCATCCTCCATCAGCATGAGGTATGTCGATTTCTTCCCCCTGACCCCTAACAAGAAGAAGGGACTTATATTCATGTTTTTCAACTCGATTTCAACTATTGAGAACATGTAATGCTCTTAATTACTGTTTTCTATTGATACAGCGCAATTCAGAGATCAAATTGTTATCATACTGAAGGACACAAAGCTGCGTGTAATAAATATGGGAATGTTCGTTACATGCTTACATTTGGAATTATTCAAACTTTTGCATCTCAAATACCAGATTTTCGAAGTACCAGATGGCTCTCTGTCATGGCGGCAATCATGTCACTCACCTATTCTATTATTGGATCTGCACTTGGCTTGACAGAAGTAATACGTAAGTGACAAAAATGAATATCTTGGAAGAGAAATGAAACATATAAATTTTGACCCCTTCGCTTGAATTTACAGAGAATGGATTAATAAAAGGTAGCATCGGAGGAGTACCAACTACTACTGCTGTTGAAAAAGTATGGGCTGTTTCTGAAGCCCTTGCAGATATTGCATTTGCTTTCCCCTTGTCTGTTATTTTTCTTGAGATACAGGTCAGAAAATTTACAACATGAAGCAATAGTGAAGAACAAACAATTTTGGGAGAGAGGATTAGACAGCACTACACTATTAAGAAATAAAAATTATACCATCTGGTCCTGTCTAATATTGTGTACCAAACGCACACTAAATGGTTGTATTGTGGATGAAGGATACTCTGAAGTCAACGCCACCGGAAAAAGTCACCATGAAGAGAGCATCTATCGTGGCAGTCTGCATAACAACTTCCTTATACCTATGCTGCGGAGGATTTGGATATGCAGCTTTTGGGAATTCTACTCCGGGTAACCTTCTGACTGGATTTGGTTTTTATGAGCCATACTGGCTCGTCGACGTTGCTAATGCCTGCGTCGCTCTTCAGCATGTCGGAGGATATCAGGTATTCCTCCCTCTGAACGTCAATATTTTTAATTTATCCTATAAATTTTCATGAAAATATTAAAACTTTTATTCATCTTAGGTTATCAGTCAGCCACTCTTTGCAAATGTTGAAAAATGGATTTCCAAGAAGTTCCCCAACGGTAAATTTGTTCATAAGAATTACGATCTGAAACTGAAACAAGTACTACGTTTGAGACTGAATCTTCTGAGTCTGTGCTTCCGAACTTCTTATGTTGCATTCATAACTGGATTTGCCATACTTTTTCCTTACTTCCACCAAGTTGTGGGAGTGGCTGGAGCTATTAACTTTTGGCCTGTCATCGTATATTTCCCCGTAGAAATGTACCTAGTGCAGAAAAATATTCGACGTTGGACGGGCAAGTTTATCGTTCTTCAAATTTATGTTTTTGTTACGTTGCTAGTGATGATGTTTGCCTTCGTTGGCTCAGTTAAAGGTCTGATAAAGGCAAGGCTTGGGTAAATTCAAAATTTCAATTAGGTTACTAAATTTCAAGCACTTTGTAACGTCCAATAAAATGATGGAAATTGCTTAGTTGACAGTCAAACTATAAATGATTATCCACTTAATTGCCACATGATGATAATGTAAAAGATCTAGTGGTATGGCTATAAATTAAGTAATTTTCTTCAATTTAATATAAAGTCAACCTCACTTGTAAAACTTTATGTGATTTCATTTCTAATTTTACAATCCATCATGATCCTATTTCAAAATAGAGCGAAAATAGTAAAATAAAAGAAGGAAAGTTGCGCAAAATGTTCAACATAATTATTCAGGAGAAAAATGAAAATTATTTTAAAAACTTATAATTTTTATATTCAATTATTTAAATACTTTTACTTTTATATTCAAATATTTTTGAAAATACCTTTTATTTTAAAAATAAATAAATGCTTAAACTGGGCCATGGATTAATGAGTCCAAGTTGCTTAAAACGTCAGCCGAAATAAGCGGTAAAACCAGGTGTATGTTACCGTTCTGGACAAATCTCTCTTTACCTGTTTATGGGGTATTGATTGATAAGATATAAATATGAAATATATAATTATTTGGTTAAACTACTCTTAACATAATCACACGTTCACCGAATTATGAAATTTTCAATTGGTAACTTTTAATAAAATAAATAAATTTGATATGCACTTTAGGGGACTAGATTTATAAATAAAACATATTATACTCTTGAAATTTTTTAACTTTTAAACTGGATACAAATACAAATACANTAATGTATGATGAGACAAAATTCGCGTCATTGATTGTTTAAATTGTAAGACCAGTTAATTTGGCCCAAGAAATATTATTTGTAAATTAATTAATAGTGATTAATTATTGTTAAAATTCTGTTGGTCCATTGAGAAGTGTCAGTTTAATAATTGTCCACTTTGACGGAAAGTTGGTAGTTTTCTTTTATGACCCGTGAAACTGTCACTCTCTG